TTTAATGCCATGGAAACTATCTGATAAATGCATAAGAAGCTCAATAAATTTCATAATATTGAGGTAGCAAAGCAATTGGTATTGTTGACAGAGAACTTCTGTTCTGAGCACCTCTTTTAAGAAGGAAAAATTGCCTAAAATAAAAATTATAGTTTGAGCTGAGGCCTGTTTTCAATAAAAATAAACCTGGAAGTAACTACACTGCATTGGAATACTGGGAAATGTGGGAGAATGGCAGGAAACAAGAGGTGCCTCTTGAAATGATAAAAATGGGATACATCACTTTAATATTTAACTGCCTTTCTTTGATATGGTTTGCTTTACCTTATTATGCATTTTTAATGAGAATAGGAGGATGAGAAGAATACTGTGAATCACATGCTAGTTTTCTGCCCAATTCTGTTCAACATTTATTTGTAAGCCATATGATCTTTGCAGTCTCCTGCATGCATGTCTTCATACTCTGGACACCCCCCTAACATGACAGATACTGCCAGAAACAGGAATGGACTTGCTCTGCTTTTACAGGTAATAATGAGATTGGTCTGTTTTCACGTGCTCAGTATTACAACGTGTAATACTGTTGTATTCCTACCTGCCTTCCTCCAAAAACTTGTAAGTTAAGAGCATCTACAGAAAATGAAAGTGAAAGAACCTTTGGTAAGTACCACCCCTTTCCAATGCACATGCAACACACACCACCACTTCCGCTGCGGAAGCGTGCTTTGAGGCATGCCACAAACTCAGTTAACAAACTCTGTGTGGGTGTGCCTAAGGCACACAGGTGGATGTTGTCATTTCAAGATAAGGGCCCCTCACCAGGCCTGCCACAAACCAGTTACCTCAGGGACCTGCCAACCCTGCTGATACCAACAGCCTCATTTCCTCATTGCAGCCTTTCAATACCTAAAGGGAGCCTACAGACAAGAGAGGAATCAACTCTTTGAAAGGGTTGATAACTGCAGGACAAGGGGAAATGGTTTCAAGTTGAGGGAGGGAAGATTGAGGTTGGATGTGAGGGGGAAGTTCTTTACAGAGAGTGGTGAGGTGCTGGAACAGCTGCCCAGAGAGGCTGTGGATGCCCTGACCCTGGAGGTGTTCAAGGCCAGGTTGGATGGGGCCCTGGGCAGCCTGGGCTGTGGAAGTTGGTGGCCCTGCCTGTGGCAGAGGGTTGGAGATTCATCATCCTTGAGGTCCCTTCCAACCCTGGCCATTCTGTGATTCTGTGAAGAGCCTCTTTAAAAGTTAAGATGAAATGAAAAGCCCTGTAACACAGGGCAGGACACATCAGACAAGAGCATGCAGGAACCTCAGTGCATGTGAGATTTAAACCTTTTTATGAGTACATTATATATATATAAACTACAGGCCAACTGTACCACAGCTCCTGTTTGTGATTCTTGTACCATTTCACTTGAAACAAAGGAGGACAGACTGCTTTTGAAACATTAGATTCAACATTAGTCATATTATAAAGCAACTCCAAATTATCACAGAACGGCCTGGGTTGCAAAGGACCACAATGCTCATCCAGTTCCAACCCCCTGCTATATGCAGGTCACCAACCAGCAGACCAGGCTGCCCAGAGCCACATCCAGCCTGGCCTTGAATGCCTCCAGGGATGGGGCATCCACAGCCTCCTTGGGCAACCTGTTCCAGTGCTTCACCACCCTCTGTATGAAAAACTTCCTCCTAACATCCAACCTAAACCTCCTGTTTAGTCAGAGCACAGTAAATAACAACAGTTAAATTATCAGAAAAAAAGTCTTGACTGTAAAAGAACAGAGGACCCAAAAGTCTTGACTGCATGAGGAGTTTTTTTTGGCTTGGGGCATATGAGAGTCTTAATTCAGCCCAACAGGGCCTCAAAAGGCTCCTGCATCTCATAAATACATTAAATGTTTGTTCACAAAGAGCTAAACAATGCACACACTTATGTTAATTAAAAAAATAATAATAATAAAACACACAGTAACAACCTCACTCCCCTATGCTTTAAGTAGAATAAGCATCACTGAAAACTCCAGTCTTTCTCACTACATTTCCTAAATGGCAAGTTATCATTCAGCCTTGTACATAACACTGAAACACATTCTGTCTATTTCTGTTTCCTGAGACATTATTATTATCAAATAAACAACAGCTCCAACTTATCTGTTCTTGCAGTACAGGCACATACGTCCACAGAAAGGAACAGACTGCATTAAAACACTACCAAACAAGCCATTTCGCTGTATATGACTCTGCCCCTGGGGAAAGGAATGAGAGCAGATAAGATGTGACAGATGCGCAGTCACGTCACTTAATACACAACTGGAAGGTGCTCAAATCATTATGGTGACAGGCACGGTATAAAAACTTGCAAAGAATGGACAAAGCATTCATCTAGTTTGCTGCATACTTTGTTCTTGTAATGAAAGAAGATACTGAAGTCCACGCAGGTGCTTCTCTGAGAGAAAATATAGGCTGTAACTATCAGTATGAGATATAGTTCGAGGGGAGCAGGAGAGAAGAGGGGAACAGGAGAGAAGAGCACAGCACGTGTGGCTTAGTCTGCAAAACTCTTCCACCACAAATATAAAATGTTTAAGGTCAAATTCAAGGTCTGTCCTCTAAAAATTTCCTGTACCAAAATATTTTTAAACAGGTTTAATGGAACTTGAAACTTACCCAAAACAAGGAGTATACTTAGCAACTGGAGATCTCCAAGCTGATCTCATTATTCAGTCTTAAGAAAAGCTATTTTGCAAAAAAAAAAAAAAAAAAAAAAAAAAATCTTTTCTTTTTTACTTTAAAGATCAAAATAATAAGAATAAAGTAGGAAATCATGTGGTTACTGAATAAAGTAATAAGACTAGTTCCTTGTTGGAGGGTAAGTGCAAGCCCAAAAGTTTAAAGATCAGGACCTTCAGACAATTGTCCAGGAAAAGCATGAAAAATGCAGACGAAATATGACTTCTTTCAGGTTAAATAATCATAAATGTTACAGTAATCAAAGTAGATCAAGAATAACTCTAAGTAGTAGCACAATTTTTAACTGCTGGTGTCCCTTCAGCAGGTACCAATACCACTGCTGTTTCAGATGCATCCTTAGGCCCAAACCCTGCAAAACGATCTGTACAGAGCCCTGTGCCTACAGGACTCTGCATTAAGTCAAAGGGGGAAAACCAACTCACAGGATCAGATTCTTAATTTGAAGCTGGACCACTGTAACTCATTATGACACTAATCATAAATATCTCAGTAACTCTCTCTGTGCCCCATCTGTTTTATCTTATTACAGCTTTATATCTCAATCCACAAGACTAGCTACAGCAATCAAAATAAGCACCTGCACACACCTGTGTTTCTACAAGACCGTGTCCTCAGCCAAAGCCAACCTTTTCTTATGTCTGTGCGCACACACACACAGTGTTCCCTGAACAGGACTATACAATATAACCAAATAATTTAAGCATTTATTCAAATACAAATCTAAATCTGTTTTCAGTAATGTAGCCACTTAAGCCAAAGGACAAATTCTGTTTACTGAAATATAATAAGTTGTATTTTTAAGGGAAATTACCTGCATCTCAAAAATGAACTGCAAAAAAAAATGGGGTTTTAAATGACTTTAAATGAACATTTGCTTCTTTATCTTATTTTCACCAAACAACTGGAAAAGTTCATAGAAGAAAATTCACTACAAACCAGAACACCAAATCCAACAGCACTGGCAGAGAGGCTGAAAAATGGTGAGTAGAGGAAGCATTCCACTGCTCTTCCAGTCTCCTCTACTTCCAAATCAGCCCTTGCCAGCTTAACACAGCAGGGTTAGATGGTCCTTTGCACCTTTCTTTTGAGCAAGTTTCTTATTTGTACATTCTCACACGCACACCACAGAAAGAAGTCTCAACTATTTTAATGACAACTCCAGCAGAACAAATCCTACAATCCAAGTTTAATTTAATTTAAGAGATACACATAAGCTATCTGATTTATTTTTTTTTTTTCAACTTGTCTGTTCTTATGAAGAACCAAGGTTACGAACCAAACCAAAGTGCAATTACACATTCATTACATATTTCAGTACTGATTACCAAATTTATCAAATGGGTAAAGGAAGAGATCTGGGAAATCTACATGCCCACAAAGCAAAAATGAACAGGACGAATATTAAACCTATTCATCTTTCTATTTTCCAGAATAATCAGCACAAATCGTGCTTAGCTCCATTCCATGTAACAGAAAAGAAGAATGGCAATGAAAAAAATTCCCCAAACTGAGTAAGAATTCAGTGAAAGGAAACGTTTCTAGAAGGCGATTCCTTCCGCCATACCAAACATAATTCTGAGAGGAGCTGCTGGCCCCTGGATTTGTACTGAAATTCAGTGCCAAACAGGATTTAGAGCAAACATTCGAGATATTAGAGAGATACTGTCAGCCTTTTAAGAGCTGTAAGCTGGATCATCATTTCCTTTCCCAAATTAGAAGTTAAAATTTTCCCGCAGCAACCCAAGTGGAGCAGGGATACGCAGGCTGTCCTCACAGTTGTGTCTTGCCTAAGACCTGATCTTCCTCTTGAGATGCTGCAGTGCATGGCACCTTTCAATTCCAAAACCCAGCAGAAGCCAAGAGCTGCATGCAAGTTCCCCCATGCTCACAAGGCAGCTTGGCCTCACCATAACTATTGCTCAGTTTATCTGTTGAGCATTCACAAACTAAAATACAGCGTGGGTGCCTTGACAATTCAAGTCATCATACGGGTTAACATTAGCATTTAAAACTTCCAGAAGTATTGCAAACAATTACCACACCCTCAAGTCACAGATAAAATGTTCTGTACAGCTTAAATACATACATTTCTGGCATGAAACATTCCTCATTACTGGCAAAATTTCCATGCAATTTCTGGCAACAGAACACTTTGAGTTTAGAAGTCAACCGTAGATTAAAACTGTTTAGACTTATGGTTGTTAGGCTTTTTGGATATTTTAATTAAAAATCATTGTTGAGCTTACCTTTCAGCAGAGGCAGAGGAGTTAACTCAATAGGCTTGCCCTGAGACCTAAACTGGGAGGAGCTTTGTGACCTCTTCTGTCTGGCTTTTCTGACGGACTTCCGAGAAAATCCGTCTACTTTATCCACTGATGGAGGAGTAGTTGGTGCTGAGGACATATCCCTACTGAAGGAAAACAAGTATTACAAATACGTTCCAAAATTGATGAAATGGATAAAGATTAACTGACATTTTCCAACCCCCTTGCTCTGCCTTCGCTATCCTCCTGACAACTTATCCAGACAGACCGTCTGGGAGATAACCCACCAATACACGTGCAGGTCTTACGGAATAAATTATAGGAATGGTGCAATTGTTCTTCTCTCTCCCTTGTTTTATCTGCCTCATTTTTACCAAAAACCCTACAACAGGAAAAATTCTGACCTAATGATGACATCATTATGTCAACAGAACTTCATACACCTGTAGACTCGACAAAGGATTGAAGCCTAGAACTCATGCTGGAAAGCATGATGCAAGCTAAATGATCTCAAGAACGTATATGGTATATATATATGATAACTCAAGAAGGTATAAATATCTTTGTCACTTTAGAGTCATTAAAGTGCACAGAAGAAAAAAATCAGCTTATTTACCATACTTACATATAAGACTTTATAGCAACACTAAAAAGTACCACAAGAAGTAGTGCCACACTTCACAATTTCAGCAAAACTGACAAAATTTCACATACTGCTCTTTACTCTCCATTTCAGACTTTCTGTTTTTGTACTGAGTCTCTTAGCACAGTTATTCCATGCTCTGGCATTTCAGCAATAATAGCAGTATGGTAGCCATAATAGTTCTAAGGGCACAAGCCAGACAAGGTTTGCAGAGAGGCAGAGAGCCAAAAAAGGTTTCTGTGAGCAGAAGTTTGTTTGTTTCCCAACTCTATCAGCTGGTCTGAGAAATAAGCATTGCTTCTTCCTACAAAACATGCCCTAGTAATGCTGCTGCAGCTAATTCCATACTACTGAGAAATACCAAAAGGAAGCTTTTAAAGAGTGAATTCCTCCAACTAGCTATTGTATTTAGCAGCCTGTCTGGCCTGTTAAAAAGACACATTGCATCTTGGTGCAATACATGAGTAATACTTCAGGAAAACAAGACAGGAGGAATTTCGGCCTACGTATTTCAAGCAGCTCTGCATACAGTTAACTTCACCAGCGCGTGCACCTCTATTATTCGTATTAGCAATGCCATTATTAGGCAGAGCACTCTGCCAGTTTCAGTAGGGCCACACACTCATGCAAAGTTAAGCATCGGCATAAGCACTTGCAGGATCAGGGTCTTAGAACATGTCCTTGGAAAGCATTACTCATCCTCAATGTCTGTTGACTTCAATTACCACAGTGACTCGCAGGCTAAAAGAAGTTGATTCCACACGATCGAGAACGCTTTCAAGTACTTATTTTATTAAAATATTTGGTTACTCATACGCTGCATAAATTATTAAAGCCATTGAAACAGACATTATTATTCAGATCCGTCTTTTACAAGAAATAGAAAGTACAATTTAAGGCAACTGTAAGCAAGTTCAGAAAGAACTGTTTAATGCAAAATTATATATATGTGCACTAAATCTCTCAAAAATGGAAGTACAAACTCCACAGCTTCTCCAAGGCAGCATGTGCAGCACCAGATGCTGAGCTGTGCAGCTGGCACTGCTGTCACGAGAAAGCCTCACACCATCTTTTTCATTTTTCCTAAGGTCCTCCCCACCACCAGCTTATACTTTCCAAATATAATATAGTGTCAGCAATGCGATCCCATCCCTTACACAAGGTTTGTTAGCCATCCAGGGGGGAAGAAATGCCCCCATCAGCGGGGCATCCAGGCCCCAGCCGAGATTAACAAATAAAGAAGTCTGATAAACTGAAATAGAACGGCCTGCGCTCCGACACCCGCTTCTAAGGTTCCAAAGCTCCGCCAAAAATATATCTAAGCACAAAGTTACCTGTTACATAAACCCAAATTACGGAAAATAGCAGCAGAAACACACAGCTAAAAACCGGAGCCGATGGCCTTGTTTCATCTCATCGAAAAGATTCCTCTGCCTGTCACGTGTGTGGCTGAAGTGTAACCATCCCTGCACTCTCTCTCTCGAGATGAAATCACCAAAATAATAACAATGCTAATAACAACGAGCAGCGAGCGGAGCGGATGGCCCAGCTGCAGGATCATGGTGTCAGCGCTGAGCCTCACCAGCATTTCTCCACTGTAAATTTAGTAACAGTTTCCCTCACCTGCGTTATAAATTATTAAAGCCTCATTCTAATTCCACAAGGCTGCATCCAGCCTGACAACCCCGTGGTAAACACCGATCCCTTTTTTTTTTTTTCATCCTTTCGATGATGAACGCGCTGTAAGGGCGAAACACGCGATTCCAGCGGGGTGGGGGGAGGAAAAAAAAAAAAAAAAAAAAAATCCCCAACAACCTGAGATTATTTAATGCGTGTAGGAAAGCTGTGGAGCTTAAGCGCCGTTTCTCCCAAGGAGGGGCCGTATTCTCACAGGATGGAGTGCCGGGAGGAAGGAGAAGCCACGCACCTCAGATCGGGGGGGGGGGGGGGGGGGGGCGCGGCGGGTGGACGTGAAAATAGCGACGGAACGCACCGGGAGGCCCGGGCCGCCACGCCGCCATCCGCTGCCTCCCGCCCGCTGCCATCGGCTGTCATTTCCCGGCGGGAGCCCCGCAGCTGGAACACGTCCTCCCGCAGCCCCCTCACCGCCACCCTCCTCTTCCCCCGGGCCTCCTCCTCCCCGCGCCGCGATGGAGTTACCTTGACCCTCCCGGTTGAGAAGCCGGAGACGGGGGGGAGGCGGCGGCGGCGGCCTGAGCCGGGCTCGGCGGAGCGCGGCCGATGCCTGGAGTGCGGTACGCGCCGGGCTCGGTCCCCGCCGCGGCGGCGCAGCAGCCTGTAGGCCTCGGCGGCGTCGGCGGCCTCCCCGGCGCAGGGCGGCGTTGGCGGCGGCTTCAGGAGCGGGCGGCTGCTCGGGCTGCACTCAGTCCCATGCACTCGGCGCGGCCCCCTGCCTGCGACGCCCGCTGCCTCACTCACATTCCCGGCGGAGCCCTGCGGAGGGGCCCCGAGGAGGCGGCGGAGGGGAAGGGGGGGCAAAGGGGGGGGAGAAACGCGGGGGGAGCCGAGCCGAGGCGAGGGGGAGCGGCGGGCGCGGTGCGGGCGGCCCCGCGAAGGGAGGGCAGGCCTCTTCCGCCGGCGGCTGCCTCAGGTGAGCGACGGGGTCCCGGCGGGCGTCGGGGTCGCGCTCCGGCTCGCTCCTATTGTCGCTCTCAGCGGGCTCCGGCCATGGCACTCGCTCGCACACACGCACGCACACACACTCCCTCCCTCGCTCACAACCGAGCGTGCTGCCACCGCCCCCCGCCCTCCGTTCCCGCCCACCCGAGCGCCGCCGCCGGGACGCGCCGCCTCATTGGCGCCCGCCGCTGCCGCCGGGACAGCCGGGAAAGGAAGGGGAGCGCGGCCGGAGGAGGAGAGGGCGGCGGCGGCTCGCGGCGCTGTGGCCGGCGGCTCTTCTCGCCCATCCGCGGGCCGGGCGGGAGCGAGGCACATCGGCTGAGGTAAAAACCTTGAAATCCGTGAGGGAAACCCCCGTATTCCCGAGGTTAAAGCTAATATTCCCGAGGTAAAACCCTCTAATCCTGAGGTAAAACGCCGCACTGGGCCCTGTGCGGGGCTCGGAGACCCTTCTCGGGGCTGCGAGCGGGACGGCCCCACCGCGGTGTCCAGAGGGACGCTCGGAAGGACGCTCCCTCAGTGCCCGCCGTGCTCTGAGCGCTCCACAGAGATTCCCGCCCTCAGGGCTCTCCAGCCACCCCGGCTCCCTTTTTTTGTCACCTTTCCTAAAGTGTATTTATAGATGTGGCAGCCAGCAGGATGGCTGGGTGCAGGTAGCATCAAGAACTGTCGGAGTGCTGTTTAAATTCGTTTACTTGGGAAGCCTGATTTCTATCAGAACGCAAGCAGTGGTGTTCATGTGGCTGCTGTGTTTAAAAATGCTGTTCTCTATGGTGTTTGTATTTCTGGTAGGAAAAGAAAAAGGAATCTAGAGGCTGCGGTGCTGGGTTGGTGTAGCCAAAGGCTTCTGATGCACATGAAGGGCAGTCTGAGGCAGTTACATCCCCTGTTTGTTCAGGTACTGAGTTCCCAAACCTTGAAAATGACCAGTCCTGCAAAGGATTCCCACTTCTTGCCCACTCCCCAGAGGTGGGCAGCAGTGTTGGTGTAACAGAGGAGTTAGGACTCAGGTGGATGAAACTGAGAGTGATTGGAGCTGTTGGGAGAGCACTTTCAGACTCGCTGACTTTCAGCCTGGTGAGTTCTCTGTTCCAGCCCTCACTGCGGCCCCAAAGAGAAGCAAGAACTCAATAAATAAAAGCTTTCTGTTATGGAGATATAGCTGTAACAAACGCGGTTCTGCCTCACATCTCTTAGTGTGCCTCTTCCATGTCTCCCCTAATTTTTGCTATCTACAGACTAAACGATTTCACTTCTTTCCTCATGAGCCCTAGTTTCAGTCCTCTGAGCATGCATATTTCCCCCCATTTTCTCTTAGAACCATCCACAATTTCTGAACCACAGCACCCAAGACTGGACACAGTGCTACAGTCAAGTCCACCAGCATCTGCTATGTCATGCCCATCACACACTGTATTCCAGTTTACACACACCAATGCAAAGACTTTTCAGACAGTGATCTATTCACAGTATTGCTGACCTGTTTTACCCCATCATCCATTTCTCTTGACCTACCAGTTATTTCTCCTTCAAGTAGACAGTAATGCTACTCAAGAATGATTTATTGCAACTGTCCTAATCCTTTCCCTTCTCTTTTATTGCTGGATAGATGGACAATCAAGCAGTCAAGACATATTTTAAAACAAAATTCCACAGAATTAGAAAACAGGAAAACCTGTCATTTTTGTAAGTCAACTGCATTCCTGGGTTAGAACTGTGTTATGGTTACAGAATTATTTATACACAATTAAAACTTTAAGTTCGCTTACAGCAACTTAGCTAACATAATCTAAATGCAAAACGTAGTCTGTAACAAATAATTTAAGTCAGTTTGTTGTCTACATCAGTACTAGATAAATTTTTGCAAAAATGGTAACTTCCCATTGCTCTGATAAATGAGGAACCAAACCTGCAGATGCACATAGTTTGCTTTCTTACTTGTACTTAATTCTGTTACTTTTGTTTATCAGCCTAATTCTGAAGTACTCTGATTTATTCACTGCCCCCTGCACTTGTTTCCTTCTGGACTAAACAGTGCATTGGGCAGCTCATAAGGTTACTGATGTCAAACTGTAAAAGGGAAGTTCTGCAGAGAGTGATGGCTGGACAGGCTTCTTAGGTGAAGTTGAGCATGTCATTTTAAATGGTTGTGCTTAAGTCTTCCCATTACTAAATTAAATCCGTCAGTGTTAAAAATCTAAAACTGGAGTGCCTGATATGGTTATTTATTGAAGTCTCTGCTGTACAAGGGATAAAACTGAAGGCCGCTATCCCAGTTTGCTGTCCTGCCTGCAGGTTTTTACTTTTCATTCTGTCATTGTGAAATAGCTGTAGAATCAGTTCTTCACTATAACTGCACAATGGGGTAAAGAATGCATTTGGATAGTTGGGTTTCTCTGAAAACTGCTTCATCTGTTCATCCATTCTGACTGTGTAAAGTACTTTAATCGTGTGTTTTATATCAAGTGATACTTGTATGGTAATAATTAAAGAAAAATGCAAGGTTTTTGGTGAACAAGAAGGATCTTTCCTCTTCTTTAACACATGGCCAGCAGAGTTTACAGAGTTGCTTTCCCATCTTCTCCCAGGTTGTCATCTTTTTTCTGTTTCGGTCTGGAAGATTTCCATCTGTGAAGAGATTTAGCATCACAGCATAAGATACAAATGTAAAACTGCTAATATTTAGGAGGAGCTGTTACTTGGCTTTCTCCTATTTTCTTTTTGGTATAGGTTTTGTATAGCTTCAGAATGATTGCACAAACCCCGGGCAGTGATGGAGGAAAATAAGTTTTAACAACTTAAAATATTTCACACATATGGATATTTTGTATATATTGTATATGTATAAATATATAAAATATATAAAATATCAATCTGCAGGAGTAAAAATTAAATGTCATCGGATAAGTTTCACAGGGAATCATAGAATCATAGAATCACCAAGGTTGGAAAAGACCCAAAAGATCATCCAGTCCAACCGTTCACCTATCACCAATAGCTCCCACTAAACCATGTCCTTCAACACTGGAATGTAGTTGTACATGCAAGTGTGTGGGTCTGAAAATAGTCATGCATGCAAAATCTGCACCCCTTTCTGAAGATCTACAAGAAATAAAGTTTTTAATCACTGTATTTCTCTTGCTGTCAAAGGCACAAGATAAGCTCATTCTTTAAAAACTGCCTTACAGTTTTTAAAACCACGTAGGAAGGAATTTCCATGGCCACCTCTTCACCAGTCCTTTTTGGCACCCAAGCAGTCAGAACAGCAGTCAGGAGCCCTCCGAAACAGACATTTTGCACCAGTGACTCAGATTTGTTCCGCTTCACATTTTTTGTGACTGAAGTTCCACTATAGACCATCTGTTACGGCCACTCGGGCAGGAATACAAGCTCACATCCACGTTGGTGTTCTGTCTGCTCTTTACATAGAAACTTATCAAACAGGACTGCTAAACAGATAACAGTGTGGAAGACCTGCTCTACTGAGCAATAAACATAAATGGATTTAACTGGAGCTTGTAAATGTTTCAGGAAACACACCCAGCATGTATTTGTCTACAGTAAGGGTCATATAATAGTCCATAAAGATCTCCTGTAAGTCAAAAGGAGCATTATCAGTGGGCCTATGGGATTAGTTCAGATATTCCCAGTACCAATCCTAGTAAGCAAGAAAAGATGTGATCTCCCCAGAGAACTAATTATTCAGGCCAGCAGGAAGAAAGAACAGAAAGAGAAAATGTTACGGAGGAAGCAGCAGTGCTGTTTGAAGAGGCAAATCAGTGTGTGAACAAGGCTTTTCTGATGCATCTTTTAACAAAAGTGAACAAGGTGGAATCCTGCATCAAAGTAACTGTCCTGCTCCATCAATTTGATTGAAACAGTACGATCTGACAGTTTTTTACTTTTGAATCAAATTTGTCTGGATCAAAAAAAAAAATTATTTCAGCTGTTTATGCTGCAGTTGATTTCTGCTTCTTATGCTTCATATTTTGGGGGGAAATGGTACGACCAATTTTTGGGCAATGTTTATAATCAGGGTCATATCTCAGTAATAAGAATATACCCTCAGGAACTGGAATCCTGATATGCAGATTTGGGATAAGGATTTTAGGGTCACAGACACAACTATCCAAATGAGAACTAAGTCTTCTTCTCTGTTTATAGACACTGCGTCACTTGAAGTCTGTTTCTGTAGTCAACATGGTAAGATAAGTGGGATCTCACTCGCCTCTGCAGCTGGCTAGCTGCCTCCTCCTAGCATAACAAGCCTAGCTGCTTTCACTTAGTTCCCAATTACCTTTTTTGTTCTTTTTTTTTGTTGTTGTTGAATCCTTCCCCTCCCCCAGCTTCTTTACTTGCCTTCTAGCCCCAGGCACTCCTTTAGGCTTAGTTTTCCGAGCTTTTTGTTAACTTCCCTTCTCTGCCAGTTTCACTCTGCTTGCTTCTGGCAGCGCAGTGTCTTCCTCGCTGATGTCTCCAGCTGTCACTCCCTAACCTCTGGAGGTTTGAGGTTCCAGAAATCCCTGCGTTCTGAGGGCACTGCCTGTGGGGCTGCCTCTGGGGGCTGAAAGCACACGTGGAAATAGGGCACAGCCCATGTGCTTCGTTGTCCCTTGTACTGCTGGGGTATACCTGAATCACAGTTTAAACAGCTCTCCTTCCATTTCTAATTCTGTTTCTTTGATTTTTGATCAAGCTTCCTCATTTCAGTTGTTTCCTAGTTTAAAGCCATCCATCCATCCATTAAGACGAGCACCCTCTGGTCTGGCCCAGCTTCCTACATCACCACGCTCCAAGAGAAACAAAATGGATACACAGAAATATGTGGTTAAGGTGTGCAACTGTATTTCGAGTGTGTGAACTGCTTTCATAGTGCTTCCCAAATCTCCAGCAAGATTCCTACCAGTTTCACTCTCAAGCTGGGTGCTTCTCCATGGTTCTAAAAACAGTTGATAATACATTTGAGATTTTCAGAAAGTACAGAGGCACTGAAGACTGACTAGGCCAAGACAGAATAACTGTTATAAAAGAGAGCAAGAAAGTATTCCTGTTCTATCTTTCTCAACTCTGCCTTCTTTGTGCTGTAGCACAGCTTTAACCTATTAGATACTTCTAAAGTTTTTAAATAATTGCAAATCAATCATATATTGGCAAGAATTGGAAGGGACCTGAAAGATCATCTTGCTCTAAACTTGAAAAAAAAAAAAAAAAAAGATGTTCATTTATATTCTGTAGCTCAACTCAGCATTTTAGGGAATGTTTAACATCAGAGGGGGATCTTACGCCACTTAAACACATTTAAAATATAAGTCCTAATGGGTTC